GGTGAGGGCACAACTGGGACTCGACCCTCAGACTTTCACCTGCGCGCCTCACTGCTGCAGTGGTCTAAATGCTCGGCTCTCCAGTTTAGCCGACTTCAGCGTTCTCCAGAAAGAGAGCCGCTGGCCATAGGCCGAGAAGACCTGACTTCAGAGCTGCCAGGCCAGGAACCAGTGTGAGCTTTGAGGATCCACCAAGGCAGAGTCCCCATGAGAGACCCCGGGCAGCCCACACTGGGTCACTGGCTTAGGTGGTCAAGCACCCTTCCTCCCGGTCACAGAGCTACAGTGGCAGCCCTCGCCCTCGGCCCTGGCTAGCCAGGCCAGCAGTCCCCGTGCAGGGGAGGGGAGGGGGTGGGCTCGCTGTCCTGCAGCACCGTCAGGCATGGGCAGAAGAGAAGGGCAGTGGGAGTAGGAAAATAGGAAAACCTGGAATAATGAGACAGAAGCATCCTCTCACTGCCCCCCTCCCCTTCTGCGATTTGGGATTTGGCCTCATGTGGGACCCTGGCTGGCTGCCCCCGGGAGCCGGAGCTGGAGCCAGGAGCACTCACAGCTGTCCCAGCTCCACATCAGAATCACAAACAAACATTGTTGCCTAGAAACACTGCCTCGCCCAGCATCCCCGGGCTGAATCATGGGACCAGGGCCGCTAGATGCTCTCTGGCCACCACCGTCCATCCAACCCTTTCATTTCTCAGATGGGAGGATGGAAGCCCAAAGATGGGAGTGGTCCTGCTCAAGTTCACTGAGCAAGTTGGGGTGAAGCTGGGATGGGACCCGGGTCCCCTGCCGCCTGATCTCACACCAGGGGGAGCCCAGCAGCATCTGTCTCTGATGCAGTCTCGGCACAGTACGGGGCACACTGCAGTGCTCAGTCAACACTGCTTGCTTGTTTGTTAGGCGGCCAACCTGTACGGGGGTCCGAACCTGTGACCTTGGTGTTCTAAGGCTGTGCTCTAACCAACTGAGCTAACCGGTCAGCCTCAATCCACACTGTTGACTTCAGTTTTGAATTTACAATTCAGACATTCTTTTCAAAAATAACAGTTCCACAGGATAAGAAGCGCCCGGTGGCCATTCCCACCCTTGGATAGAGCTGTTTGCTTTAGGGACTATCCCCCAAGGAAAGGACCCAGGAGATAAGGAGGAGCATTTGTACAAAGATGTCCTGCCAGCCCATTCATTACTGCTGAAAACTGGCAACGCAGCACGTGCCCCGAACAGAGCAAGAGCTTCGCAACAGTGAGAGCCGAACGCCCTGGAATGTTAGTTTGCCCTTGGAAATGAAAAGCAAATGACGTGGGCCAGGCTGAATCAAGAAAATGGGTAAATGGAAACAGAAATCAGTGATGAGGGCAGAATATAAGATGTGCCGAGATTAATTCTATAACAGCGCCTACGTGTGCCTGAGCAGTCGGGAGGGACGGGCACGTGGTGGGAGGTTCGGAATTTCGGGGCTTCTCAAGCTCCTGGGATATTTTCTTTCTGTGAGGACTTTCTGACTCTGGGGATCGAAGACACCAGAGTTCACAGTGTTCTCCAGACTCTCCAGGGACAGCAGCGGCTCGCCTGACTTTGGCCCAGAAGCCTGATGTGTGTGTGACTGTGTGTGTCTGTGTCCGTGTGCGAGTCCACGTGTGCGCGTGTCTGTGTGCGAGTCCATGTGTGCGCGAGTCCGTGTGTGCGAGTCCACGTGTGCGCGTGTCCGTGTGCGAGTCCACGTGGGCGCGAGTCCGTGTGCGAGTCCACGTGGGCGTGTGTCCGTGTGCGAGTCCACGTGTGCGCGTGTCCGTGTACGAGTCCATGTGGGCGTGTGTCCGTGTGCATGTCAGGGCCCGGCACTGGGAGTCAGAAGATCAGGATTCCGGTTTCCCCACCCCCTTGTGTCCCATTTCCTCCTTGGTGGACTGGGCACAGTGCTGTTCACCCCCCACCTCCAGGATGGCTGGCAGGAGAAGAGGGCCACCCCCAGCTGAGTGGGGATGAAGGAGGCCTGGAGGGCTCAGTGCATCGTGACTCCACCACAGAATTACTGGGGAGCCTTTAAGAAGCACCAGCACCAAGACCCCCTAGCCAAGGTCAGCACAGGGTGAAGGGAAGACAGGCCGGGCAGCCATGGAGCAGGGCAGGCCTTCCCCAAGGACAGAGGAAGGGAGCTGTGTCCTCCAGGCACCCAACAAGGTGGAAGGAGCACCAGGCCCAGCCCGAGGGCAGGGGTCGGGCGGGGGTCCTGAAGAGCGGCCGTCCCCCTCCCCGACTCCCCGGGAGGGAGTGAACTGCCGGCGAAGACTTCTGTACTGAACACACTTTGCACCGTTCTGCTATTTCCTGTGTATGTTTAGAATGCTGAAACATTTCTGATGTTAAATAAATAGTATTACATTAAAAAAAACAAACGAGCAAGCTGGATCCTGGAGGCAAATGAACATGAAACTCACAGAAATGAAGTTCACAAGCTTCCAGAATGGCAGCCTGGAGGCTGAGCCTGGGGACCACCCTACAGAAGGAAAGGGGGAGGGGGAGGGGGAGGACGGGGACAGGGACCAGACAGCACCCCCGCCCCCCTGCCCCCAGCTCGGTGTGTGCTTTCCAGGGGATTTTTTTAAATCTTCATTTTCTGGCTGAATCGCAATAGGCCTCAAGGGGAGCTTTGTTGTGTCTGTGAGGGTCTGAGCTTTGTCCTCTGTGAGAGCATTGTCAGCGTGCTGCTGGGAGGCCCAAAGAACCATGGGGACCCAGAGCCTGCAAATAAAGTTTAAATACAGCCCAAAGTGAGGCTGTTCATAACCACCAACTGTGGGAGCAACCCAAGTGTCTATTGACGGATGTTGGATAAAGTAAGTGCGGTCTGTCCAGACCATGGAATATTATTCAGCCGTCAAAAGGAATGAAGTTCTGATCCACGCTGCAATGTGGATGAACCTTGGAAATGTCACACTAGGTCAAAGAGGCCAGATGCAAAATGCCACATATGATTTCATGTATATGAAATGTTCAGAGCAGATCAACCCAAAGAGAGAGAAAACAGATTAGTGGTTGTTGGGGGCTGGGATGGGGCAGGGGTGGGCGAGGGCGGGTGGCTGCCAACGCATGTGGAGTTTTGTAATGGGTTGATGAGAACGTTCTCTGGGCTGGTGGTTGCACAACTCCGGGAATACCCTAAGAAACGCTGAATTGCACACTTTAAATAACTGAATTATACAGTATGTGAGTTATATCTTAATAAAGCTGTTCCATTATAAAAAGTGGGTGAGAATTAAATGAGATAACAGATGTGGTAAGATGATGATAACTTTTTAAAGTCTGGAAATGATGCCTTGGTTTGTGAAGAGCAGCAGCCGGAAAATAACATCAAAGGGACAATTTTTCAGCGCCTGCGATGTGCTAAGCATGGCGCATCCGTCATCGCGTGGCAAGATCAGTATTTAAATAAGAGCCACTTTACAGATGGAGAAACAGGCCAACTGAGCCAGTGGCCACCCAGGGTCACGCGGCTGGGAAGGGACCAGCCGTTCGGTACTCGGGTCTCATGAACTCCAGGGCCTGAGCACTTGACCCCACTCCCACCCCCAGGCTGCTTTTCATTTAGATGAACTCCCGGAATCTTATAAATCTCGAGAGAGAAAAAAGTGAGGCAGCAAGAAGTGAAGAGGGTGAGAGGAAGAAAGAGAACACAACCCTGGGATTGCAAAAGCAGCTCTTGCAAATTTACGGCTCCCGGTTGATCTATTAACGCATCGGGGCGAGGAGGGGCGAACACATGCGAGTGAGCTTCCCGTTTCAGCAACAAGCCGTAAATAAACAAGCACCCGGCCGGCCACTGGCCACCGCCCAGCAGCGGAGCTGGGACCGGGCTTTCTGGGGAGAGACACCGGCTCCCCTGGCACCCCACCACACCTCTGCCTCCTCCCCACCCGGAGCTGCAGTGACACCAACAGGCATGGGTGGGGGACACCGCAGTTGCAGCCCAGGGCCGGCTCCCTGTGCCCCAGCCCCACATCTGCCTCCTCCCCACCCGGAGCTGCAGTGACACCAACAGGCATGGGTGGGGGACACCGCAGATGCAGCCCAGGGCTGGCTCCCTGTGCCCCAGCCCCATGCCACCCGGAGCTGCAGTGACACCAACAGGCATGGGTGGGGGACACCGCAGTTGCAGCCCAGGGCCGGCTCCCTGTGCCCCAGCCCCACATAGGGGTGCACGGCTTCAAGGTTTGGAAGGGCTCACCAAACAGATGTTCTGAGATGCATAGACATGTGTGGGTTGATTGGCGGGGGTGCACAGCAGGCTGTTCAGGAACCTTCTTTCTCAGTCTGGAACATCTCAAAGACCCTGCCAGGGCTGATGTCACTGGCCTGAACTGCAGCACCCGCCCCCCACAACTCCCGCTCAGGGACAAGGGGGGTTTCACGGCCCTCTCGTCAGCTGGAACAGCAGCCCCACACTCTCGCCTGGGGGCTATGGCCTGGCTTTGAAGGACTCCCGAGCCAGGCTCCTCCCTGCCCACCCGCTCCCAGGATCCCAGACAGGGAGCAGCTGATCAGAAAGCCCAGTTGCCAGACTCCTGGTCTGTGGAGCAGGCTTGGAGGTGGCACGTGTCATGGTCAGGATGCGGTCCCCACCCTTTGCTCTTTTCTAGCTGGGCAACCACGAGCAGCTCACCCCACTTCACTGAGCCTCAGTATCCCCGTTCAGTGCAGACAACAAGGGCTGCTGTGCAGATTACCCGAGATTCCGCACGCAGTGCCCAGCTGCTGGTGCATGAAATGCTCGTTGTAAGTTATTTCAGGGGGGCGCCTCACCCTGGGCTTCCATGCACACTCCAGCAGTCCCCTCAAAGGCTTCAGGGGCCCATGGACAAAAGTCCTCTGTGTGGAAGCCAATGAGCATCCCCTGGGAGCATCCGAGAGGTCTGACATGCCTGCTGGCCACCCTGAGGCCAGTTTCCCTCCAACCCCCACCTCCACCCCTTCTCAACCCAAGGCGATGGGATTGGGGTTACCTGTCAGTGACAGGCGGCACAGGGCGGGAGTCCTTCGTCCAGGTGACCAGTGGGGTTGGGGAGCCCTGGGCCTCACATTCCAGGGTCACCTCTTCACCAGCCTTTGCTGTGACTCTCAGAGGCACGTCTGCATCATGTGACCCGTTCACCTTGATCCTGGGCTTGGCTGTCGGAGGAGGCAAGCAGGGCCTGTGAGCAGGGCAGGGAGCAAAGGGGTGGGGGCCAGAGGCTGCAGGACGGCTGTCCCAGGAAGCAGAGGTGGTACTGTGACTTTGACCTCTAGTGGGTCCAGAAGGTGGCTGTGGCTCTGTTATAATGAGGAACACTCAGATTCACTAAGTCCTCACCTTCCACCTGTCCACCAGCCTCCCTCTGGAAGCTCACCTTGCTTTGCCAGCCTTGACCTGGTCCTTCTGCCCCAAATCCTCTGCCTCTGCTGGCTTCTCTACATCCTGCTGTCCCTTCCCCAGGGACATTTCAGCAAGTTCTGTCTCCTCTCTCTACCTCCTCTTCCTTAATCATTCCACTTATTTCCATGATATCAGCACCCACATGATGTGCAAACTCTCTGGCCCGCTCCAACCCCGGTCACAGATTTATGATCATCATGCACATCCCCTCTGTCACATGTTACGCTGAAGACCCTCGACAGCAGAGATTACATCGTACCCCGCTTCCTTCATACACTGAAGGCACTCAGTACATGTCTGAGCAGCAATAACGAAACAAGCCAGACAGTTGGGGACATCAAAACCCATCAAGCCCTCCTGTGGTCCTTGTGCATCATTAGTTCAGACAGGAATTCCTCCCCTTTAGTTTTTTTTTTTTGCAATATAAAAATATTGGCTCCCAGAGTTATGAGAGAAAAAGACTGGCCTGCATGTCCCAGACGTATGTGCTGAGTGCCCAGCCCTGTGGAGAACACTGGGAAACAGCAGCAAAGCAGACAAGGCCTGTCCCTTTCCTCACAGGGCTTAGGGTCCACAGGGAACCCTGGGACCAACTGGCTCAAGATCAGTTAGTTATTTAATCACAGTTGTGATGGCCGCTAGGAT